ATGGATTCTATTGAGACTGTGGATGATGATGAGGTATTCAAAGGTTTGAACTTTGACATGTTTCTTGAAACGAAATGGGAACATTTGGAGGAATTTAATCTGCAGTCGGTCGTCATCCGTAGTCTGTGCAATCCCCCTGTCAATATCATTTTTTGTGGAGGAATTTAATCCAAATAAAAAGTCCAGAGTCCAGCTCCACCACGAAAACTCCCTTCCCCCATCCCCAAAATTGCACACTGAAAAAAAAAAAAAAAAAAACCAAAACAAAAAGTCCAGAGTCTTTTTTTTTTGGTTTAATACCCAATTTTATCCTTAAACTTTTATTTGAGAACTTTGTTCGTTTTTTAACAAATAAAAGCACCTAAGTTGTCCTTTAACTTTATTTATTTGGAACCCAAATGGTTCTTCCGTCACGGAAGTGCCCAGTTAGCACGTTAACTTGCCACGAATTAATCCCTTTATTTCAGAAAAATTGTGTGGAAAAAAAAAATGATGCTTTGGTAATCTTAATATTAACCTTTCCCTTATCTTTAACCCCCATCCCTCTCTGCCATTTTTGTTCCTTTTCCTGTTCTCTAGCACTGACATCAACACCAATACCATCAGCATCATTCTTTCCCTTTCTCATTTTTCTCTCTACTCTCCACCCTCCTCCTTCCTCCTTCCTCCTTCCTCATTTCCCTTTTCTTGAGTTCGAATTTTTCATTTTAGTAAATTCAAACTCAAGATGGACTCATGGTATTGTATCTTTTACCTTCACAGGGTATTAAACCTAAATTGGTTTAATTAATTAAATTACAACGATTTCAATCCCATTTTGATGATGAATTGAAAGAGCTGAAAATGCCATCGAATGTGTTGAGAGAACAGAGAAGGGGATTTGATGGAGGTTTGTTTTGTTTTCTTGCTTCTGCAAAGCTAAAACAGATCAAGAGATCTCATTTTTGGACATGATACTTTGGGCTGGCTCGGCTTTCGTTGCTAATGAAATGAATTTCAGATGAATTTGAAAGACCCATATCTTGTAAATTAAATGGTTTTAGGACATGATTTTAGTTTAGGAATGATAAAATTTCACAAAAATCAATCCATAATTATTTTACCTTCATTATTGATTTCATTTGAGTATTGGAGAAAGCATCGACTTTAGAGGCTGCTTTTGATTAATCTGTATTAAGTAAAGCTTTCTATGAACGTGATGGTTGACCACAAAAAGATATGTTTCCACCTTAAGCCGATTCTCTTCCAACCACATCCGATTTCTTTTCAATAAAATAACATCTCCTTAGAATCTATTTCTAAGATTTATGCAGTTCTTAATTAAAAGTTAATTTATCAAGAAATAGTCATTCATGATTCAACAAATCCTCGACATACATAAAAAGTCTGAGATTTTATTCATCTTCATAACAAAAACATACAATACTTCAAAGCGGTAGGTATTGATCTCATTACATGGTAGAAATGATATAGAGCACAGATCAGAAGAGATATGAAACCTGCAAAAACTAGGGCTTGGTGAAAAAACAACTCATTTAGGAGTTGTAATGATAGACACTAAACTGTTGCCATGGCCAAAGCCCATAAAAAGCAAGGCACCAAAACTCTTGACTGTGAAAAGCATGGTGGAAGTGAAGACTTCAACCTACCCTTTGAGCAAAACAGAGGATCGAACTATCATGTGAAGAACCAGTGGAAACATTGCCAACTTCGTAGTGAGATGACTGGGGGGAGGAAGAAAAGCTTAGCCCAAAGATGAGTTGGCAAGACCAAGCTAAAACACCAGGTGCAAGCACCTAGCAACATAAAAAAGCTAAAATCAAAAGAAACAAGCCCTAAAATTTAGGACCCAGTAACTGTGTTCTCAGGGATTTTGGCCAAGAAGAAACCAACGCCCATTTGTTGGGCAAAATGTATTAACAGATTTCTGTACAGAAATTTGCAAAAGAAGAAAAAAGAGAGAGGATAGAATGGACATATTCCCTGGAAAAGGGGATTGAGCACTGGATGATAGAAGACCCATAGCAGATGGACCCAAAAACTAAACATAATGCCATCACTCACAAAACTAGTCTGAGGCATCACGAGACTCATACCTCATGCGTTGTTATTTGGAGGGTTTACCTTTCCTGTTCAAAAACTGCTCAGAAAAGGATATCACACCTCCATAACTGCTCCATGAGCATATCAACTGCACTGCTGCTAACTCCATTGCAACGTTGCAGATTTAATCCCAAGAGGCTCTAGGGTTTGGAGAAGAAATTATAGAGGATTTAAGGGTCAAAGAAGGAACCTAGGGTTCGGAGAAGAAATTGCAGAGAGAAGGAATGGCTGATGTCGGTGTTGGAGAATAGGAAAAGGAACAAAAATGGTAGAGAGGGATGGGGGTTGAAGATAAGGGAAAGGTCAATATTAAGATTAGCAAAGCATCATTTTTTTTTCCACGTAGTTTTTTTTGAAATAAAAGGATTATTTCGTGGTAAGTTAACGTGCCAATTGGGCACTTCCATGACGGAAGGACCATTTGGGTTCCAAATAAATAAAGTTAAAGGACAACTTGGGTGCTTTCATTTGTTAAAGGATGAACAAAGTTTTCAAATGAAAGTTTAAGGACCAAATTGGGTATTAAACCTTTTTTTTTCCTTGAAAAAAGAGAGGAAAAGTCTGAGTTATTTTCCTATGAAAAAATTGAAAATCCTTTTTCTTTTATTTTTACATTAAAATTCAATTAATTTGGAGATGAAGAGGTTAAACTCCGAAGAAGTCTTTTTAACATTTATTTTTTTATTTATAAACTTCAAATCTAAATTATTATTTTGAAATATTAAATTCTTTTTATATGCATCAACATATCATCAATATATATTATATTTTTTAAACATGATTATAGAGAATATTGTAAAAATTTATAAAA